CGGGGGGCCCACCACACCCCAGCGAGCAGCAGCCGCCCCTCCGCTGCCCACCTTAGCATATGGGACCCCCCCCTCAAAAACCTGCCCAGAAGGAGGCACAGCACAGTGACACCTCTGTGGTGACGTGCTGCCATGTGGCTGATGGGGTCCAGGTCCCTGCAAGCCGTGCCGGGAAAGGGGACCCAAGGGACTCCTGGTGCCAGCCACACCTTAGCACAGCGGCCGATGCCGTAAGTCTTCCCAAAAGGGCCATAAAGGGAGTTCAGCAGCTGCAGGGCTCTGGCAACAGGGTTGATCCAGCGGTGATCTCCCTCCTGCAGGATAAGGGAGTGTGGGCAGCCGGCTGGGAATGTCTGCCATGGCAGGGGATTGGGCTGGGCACTGAGCTGGGAGCTTCATCCCAGGAACACCAACAGGATGCCCCGAAGCTGCTCAGCTGGGGACACAGGGGCCAGCTTGGGGTCACTCCCCAACAAAAGCTGCCCCTGGGGAGTAGACAGGGCCCATGGTGCAAACTGGGGGACTGAGCAGGACGCCACACACCTCCTCTCTGAACAGCACCTTGTCCCAGCCCCAGTGAGGCACAGGGGACAGGACGGTGCTGTCACCTCAGCACAGTGCCCCACTGACCAGAAAGTAGTCACGGAAGAACTCGGGCAGCTCCATGCTAATGATGTCTTCATCCAGGGGCAGCAGGTAAAAGGACCATTCATCGCAGGTGACATCTGTGTTTGGAACAGGGATAGGGGACAGTTATGCAGCCCTGGGCAGGAAGAGCCCCAAGAATCACAGCAGCCCCAAAACAGGGCCTGTGGGGCTTCAGACAGGATGGGTGGCAGGATCCTGTCTCCTCTCCTCAGGCAGAAGAGGGGCCGATGCTGCGCGGGCACACATCTGCCTGCAGGCCAGCGGCCAGCCTCAAGAGAGCCGTGTTCCCTGCCCACCTTCCTGTCCCTCCGCACGCAGGGATCCCAGCACTGGAATTTAACTGGGATCCCGCGCTGTCAGCTACCCCGAGCCAGCGCCGCAGCCCCACTCACCACCAAAGACCCCCTCTTCCTCCAGCACCATCTCGCAAGCATAGAACTGGAAGGGAAGGGAAGACCCTCAGGGCCACGCAGGCTCTAAGCAGGAAAAGCTCTGGAGGGGCCCAGCACCTTCCCAGGTGTAACAACACTTGAGTTTACATAAACGTTTCTGCGTTAAAAACTAATTTTGATGTCTATAGAAGTGCGGAAGGTGCAAAGGCTGGGCAGACACAGAGTGACAGGGGAATGGGCAGCAACCATGTGTCCCACTGACCTTCTGGGGGCTGAAGATGATTTTGTACTTCCTGCTCCTCCCTGACATCTTGTCAGCGTTGACAATATCTGTGGACACCCCGCACAGCTGCCCACCCTGGCAGGCACAGCTCCCCTCGGCACACAGAGCCCGATGGCCCCAGGCACAAGTGACACCGGGGAGCGGGGTTCGCCGAGAGCCCCTCAGGCCCGGGCACAGCGGTGGCCCAGAGCTCCAGCCCCAGCTGAGGGGCAGCCGCCTCTGTGGCCGCACTCACCGGCGATGAACCTCATGGTCCTGAGCCGCGGCCGCACCAGGAAGCAGAACCTGCAGCACAGAGGGGAGCGAGGGGCTGCTCGCACCCGTCCGCGCCTCGGGGCCCCTCCTCTGCACAGCCCTGCCCGGGCCCGGCCCGGGGCACTCACTGGTCGCTGGCGCCGGGGGCCGGCCGCGTCTCCACCTTGTACAGCTTGTCCACGTCGTGCTGCTGCGGGGACAGGGCGCGGGTTGTGCGCGGGCGGCGGCGGCGGGCGGGGGCGGCCCGAGCGGAGCCCGCGGTACCTTCAGGATGGACACGTTGGCGATGCGGTCCAGGGGGCTCATCAGGTCAGCCTCGATGAACAGATCCTTCTTCCCGGGGAGCTGCGGGCAGGAGGGCATGGGCCGGCACCCGGCGGCTGCCCCGCGCCGACCCCGACTCCCGACCCCTAAGCCCCGGGCCAACACCGATCCCGCTGACTCCCTACGCCCGCCCCGGTGCGGGACCCCTGCCCCGGGCGGCCCTCGGACCTGCTCCAGCAGGTAGACGAGCTGGTCTCGCGCTAGCCGCTTCAGAATCCCGAAGTCCGGCGGCTCGGGCGCGTCGCGCCGCCCGGCGAGGGCCATGACGGCGGCCGGGTCGGCACCGGGAACGCCCGAGCGCGGGCGCGGCGCGGCCGGAACTCCGCGGCGGCGGAAGCGATCGATACCATGGCAACGCAGAGACGCCGGTTTCGCACAGGTTTATTGGCCCGGGCGGGCGCGGGCCGGTCACGTGGGCACGGCGCGCTCCTCGAACAGGCGCTGCAGCGCCCCCTCCAGGGCCGCGCTGGTCCCGCGCAGCCCGGACACCACGCGCGCCGCCCACCGGAAGTACTCCTGCACGCGCTCCGCCGACCAGCCTGCGGGACACGCGCACGTCACTTCCGGCCCCGCCACACCGGCGGCAGCTCCGCGCCCTCCCCGAGTCCCCGGGCACGGCCCCGCGCACACGGACGGGCAAACACAGACACGGACACGCTGCCCCCCGCCGCTGCCTCCCCGAGCAGCCCCGGGGCTCCTCTGTCCCTCGGCACAGCCAACGGCGCTAGCCATGCTGCTGGTGGCGACCGGCCCGGCTCGTCCCCGTCCCCGCGGTGCCGCTGCCGCCGGCGCGGGCGATACCTCGCGGGGTGCAGCGGTTCAGGTCCCGCAGGTTGTACAGCTTGTCCGCCAGCTTGACCAGCTTGGCTCGGCTGCTGCAAAAGGGAGCGCGCTCGATCTGCAGCCGCTTCCGCTCCATCTTGGGCAGGGTCTTGTCGTCCGTCACCTCCTCCACCACGCGCCGCACCTCAGCACCGAACCGCTCCTCGATCTCGGAGAACGTGGTGTCCGTGTCCTCCACTGTGTCGTGCAGGAGGGCGGCCTGCGGCGAGGAGGGGACACGGGGGGCTGCAGGGGAGCGGGCAGGGCAGGGCAGGGCAGGGCAGGGCCTTACCTGCAGCACCACGATGTCCGTCACGCCAGCCTCGTGCGCCAGGATCCTGGCGACGCCTGCAGCGAGAACGGAAAGGTGGTGGGAGGCACCGGGGAACAGGCGGCTCCGGGCCAGGACAGTGGCTCCCGTGGGTGACACGGGGCTGCTGGGCTGCACGGTGGGCACTGAGGTTTCCCCGAGACCAGCCCTGGGCAGGGAAAACCCCAGGGGCAAATCCTGCGAGGTGAATCCTCTGGCTGGGCAGGCAGGGGGGTCCCGGGGGCTGTCCCCAAGGCTGGCAGGTGCGATTGCGGCACAGCGGCCCCTCGGCAGCTCCCGTAGGCCCCGGAGGAGGGCAGCCGTGTGGTAGCAGCCACACCCGGTCACAGGGCTGGGGCAGGGGCCAGGGGCGCAGCGCTTCGGCAGCTCTGCCCCCATCGGGCTGAAGGACATGGTGCGGGAGAACGGACACGGTTCTCTCCAAGAACCAGAGTGAGAGGCTCCCGGGGATCGGCAGCGCTCCGGGACAGGAGGGATCCCAGGGGACAGCGGTGCTCTGGGAGAAAGGGCCCGCGGGGTTCTCCCGGGAGCGGGACGCGGTGCCGGGGGGTTTCCACACCGATGGGATGGTTGATGTAGGGAGTGCCCTCGGGATCCATCCGCCGCTGCTCCTTGTGTTTCCTGGCTGCAAAGTCCACTGCCTCCAGCAGCCGCGCCATCTCGGAGCCCATCCCCGCGGCCTCGGAGCCCATCCCCGCCGCCTCGGAGCCCATCTCCGCCGCCTCGGAGCTCATCGCCGCCGCCTCGGAGCCCGCGCCCGGCGCGACGGAAGCAGCACAGGCGGAGGCGGGTCCCAGCTCCGTTTATTGCACGCCGGGCCCCGGCCCGCCCCAGCCCCGCGGCAGCCGGTACAAGAGCGTCCCGTCGGGGGCGCGCACCTCGCGCCCGTCCCCGGTGCCCGGTGGCGGTGCCGTGGCGGCGGCGCTCAGCGCCCGCTGGTCCTGCCGCAGCCGGCGGCGCGGTGA